AAAAAACGGTATTCATGCAACAGACAATTTCAGAAGTCAAATAGGTTTCGCTTCACAATTTATCACACGTAGAATTGTTTCGCAGTCATAATGATTCTCGCCGCTTTATACACTTCTTTCAATCAAATTCATAGCGCCAATGCCATGTTAAACTGCCCAACAAGTTCCCTTCATAAAAACAACAATGATTCACCTATGCTGAAAGGGCAATTTCAGTGCTGGACAAACTTATGGACGAGAAATTCTCAGACTCCAAGGGTGAATTCAAACTCTCTGGTAACAAGAAAGAGCTCACCACTATCGACCCAAAAGTAAACATCTATCACAAGTGCAATTACGATGGGGTAAGTCCCAATGATTTAAAAAATTGTGTTCGACTTTATTGATGCGTTTGTTTTCAGCTTTGTTTCAAGAAAATATCCGTCAAGATCCCCAAGAACTACGTCACGGAAGGTGAAACACCAGACAAAGTGTTTGACATCGGAGAACTCAACCTTGCTGGAGCATTCTCTGGCCAAAGTACTGATTGTCTTAACTAAATTTGATCTAGCTCAATAATCTTTACGCTCACCATATGATACTTCTCGAAATCTCATAAATTTTTAAATACGGTTTGGTGCATCTGGTTATGTTTAAACACACAAACAAACATTATGGATGGGTGCAAAGCGAAAAATTGGCGAATGCTTACTCCCATAGGGCGGTGTTGCTCGGTTTCAGCACTTAGACAGTTTCTATGTAAGATGTATGCTTCAACCTCTCCATAATGCAGGCCTTAGAAGAAAATGGTTTGAAGTCGAAGTGGTCAAGCCGAACAAGCTGCATACCAATGGATGCCGCATAAAACACCGAATGCAGATCTGTCTTCCGTATCTGCTAAACGCCTCCTTTGTAGGCGAAATTATCAGTCTTGTAGCAAGAAAAATGCACATAAAAACTGCGAAATCAGCATTATTACCCTTCTAGCTCAGCTTTACGTAAGGACTACATGAAGTATGCTAGCTGCATGTTTTGGCCCAGTAAAGCCGAACAGGGTTTTGGTCAAATTTATACATTGCAGCACACTTCTTAGCAATGTGATGGCTTATAGGCTTATAGCCAGGGCCCGGCACAGATGGTTTGGGTCAAACTGGACTTCGTTTTTTGGGATAAAAGCAACAG